GTTTCAAATGCACAGATAACATGCACTATATCTGCTCGAATTTTCAGGTTGGCTATTCTGTGGTCGTGTCAATTGATCAGATAATGAACGCTGATGATGGCGTCCTCTATCAAAGTCAGGTCAAGGACCAGGCTCCTACTAGGTATTCAAATATGCCTCATATCAGATGACAATCAGTGATATGTATATGTGAATCAATAAAAGGCGGTGCAATACCAGCTGGAACATGTCACTTTTGGATGCCATCATCGGTCAGCTGCAAAACACGCGGTTTTTGAACGTATTGGTTACCATTCATTGCGTTTTAGTAGAAACAAATATATTATACTGGATCTTATAGTTGTTATGAATTACTAATTAATTAAACATGACTTTTATGATTAATAATTAAACGTAATGTAAATGTTTAAACAGCTTGAAATAGTGCATATAGTATATGGGAAATGATATACATGTATTCTTAATGGGTTATGACTAAAGCTTTTAGCTTTAATGACTAAAAGCTTTTAGTCATTAAAAGCCCGTTCCGGAGTAATATAAAAATTATTTATTTATCTTATTTATTTTTGTTAGAATTGTGCAAGCTCTGGAGCAGTTCAACGATCGTGTAAATCTGACAACAAACCGTTTCCGCCGAATTGAGCAAAACATAGGCGTGGAAACGTACCAGATCGGAGCTGCAGAACTGATCAACAGGTGAAGACACAACTGCAACAACAGAGGAAAAAGAAAATATAGAGTAGTGGGAAGTTGATGGCAGTTATTACCTCTATGAAATATGTATTGTTTTTGGCTTGTCTGTGTGTATGTGTGTGACTGTGTGTTTGTGTTTCTGCACATTTGTAGCCAGCAAAACTTTTGAACTTATGGATGTATTGTAACGATATTTGGTATGTGGGTAGGTGTTGGGTAGGCAAAGGTCAATGTCAATATTGGGCCTCCTGGTGGCTGACCTTGGTACTGCAGCACAACTTCCGTTTTTTGTATCTTTTGTCCTGGACATGCTATGGTCTTAATTTTATAGTGGTGGATAGCTTTTCCTGTCAGTAATAAGTCGTGTGGGTTTGGTCCCCCTAGCAGCTTGTTCTGAAACTGTAGGGGGTTTCTGGCGAAAACTTTCAGAGCCGATGAATTCACAAAGGACCAATGTATTTTTTTGAATTTTGGTATGTGGGTATCTTAGAAAGAGATCTACATTATAAGATGCAAAGTTTGCAAATGATATGTATGATAAATGAGGAAATTGTGTTATTCCAGTGTTTTACATCATGGGACTTCGATACATGTAATGTTTATAATCTATGGCAAGAGGAATATCTCCAGATACCAATTATGCAAACACGGACCTAATTTGCAAAAATTAATCTCAAGATTCTATAACTCCTTAGTGGTAAATGATAGGAATTCCATACTTGGATCATGTGTAATTTAACCCTACCTAGACCGGGGGGGGGGCTAAAAGTGCCCGCGGCAACTTTGATGTCACATAGCGTCTGAACGGCTAGCCGTAGAACGTCCAAACTTGGTGACTTTTCCTAGAATATTGTTGGCAACAATTATCTTTCATTGGAATAAGATAATAATTTTTGTGTTGCCATGGCAACGGGTTTCTTACAGGCATTTTTGGCTAAATTTAGTAATTTTTGTTTCAACAATAGAATTTTATGGGTTTTATGTCAGTGTTACTCATGGTATCTAATATTAATAACATCCAATATAATTTTATGTAAATTTTATCATTAAATATGCATAATTTATGCTAATTTGATGACGTCATTGGCCAAAATCCAAGATGGCGGACCATATCATTAGAACAGGCATATACAGGTTATTTTCATTAAAATTCCATCAATACTTCCATTTCTTTTTCCAAAAAAGGTTTAAATGAAGGCCTTTAGTATGTTTACAATGTATTTTAGGCTTTATCATGAAAAAAAAACTATTTTTGAAAGTTCAAGATTGATGACCCAAGATGGCGGATATATTAAATATGCATGACGTCATTTTATGACGTCACCGGTGTTGCTAAGGGCAACATAAGACTTAGTACACCATAACATTCTTTTATAAACACTTTTGGCACAGTTATGTTGAATACAATTTAGTTTTCAGGGAAAAACCTATTTAGATGGTTTTGGCCAATAAAATCACATTAATGACGTCATAATGACGTCATATTACGTCATAACGACATAAAAATTGTAGATATGATAAATTTTCACTAGTACACCATTCTCTGAAAATTTGGTGATCATACGACATACCGTTCGCGAGTTCTTAGGGGGGGTCAAAAGAGTCCCCCCCCCCCGGTCCCCCAATGTCAAAAAAAGCCCGGTCTAGGTAGGGTTAATCAAATGCTGCTAATGGGTTCATCATGTCTGCAGCCTCCATTATGACTTAAACATCATGAGAAACATTAGCAGTAATTTCGTGCATATAATAGTTTACACTATGTGTAATTTTGAAGCTCTAAAGAGTCTTTTTTTCTTGTCTACAGTGTCGGATTTGCATCCCTTGCTAAAAGTGAAGGTCTTCAAGACGAATCGGTACGACACTACCCTAACTCAGCATCCATCCCCATTGAAGTAGATGCTTCCATTGCCTTGCCAGAAGACCTTGGATTACTCTTGAAGAAAAATATATCTGGTTGGTTGTTCTCAATAACCATTTATAACATTTATGTATTTAATTTGGAAATCGTTTAAAAGCACTGCAAAAGTGCGTGATCCAATATTTTTTCACTTTATTTGACCACATACTGTTCGTTCTTTACATGTTCTTTACTTAATTTATCTTATTTGGAAAACCTGGGAAATACAAATGCTGTCAACCATGATATGCCTATCTATTATTTGTTATAATGCTTAAAGGAATTATGTTATTTTTTGTGTTGCAATACAGAAGATCCAACCAATGAGGACGTTCGTCTAAACTTCGTCATTTACCAGAGCAGTCGACTGTTCCAATCCAATCAAACAGCTTCTTTCTTAGCCGGCTCGAGAACCAGGGTCAACAGCAGAATTATTGCCAGCAGAATAACTCACTTTGAGTTAAAG